GAAGACAGAGGGGCATCATAGACAGGGCTCGCTTTGGATCCCTGAGGCCGTTTGCTAGAGGGGAGCAACAGTATGCGGGCGGCCAGGTGCTAAAGCTGCGTGAGAAGCACTCGGTGGCCATCGCGTCGACGTGCTACAACATTGGCGACGCTTCCTTTGGAGCCCGCGCGTCGGGTTGCACCGGCAACGTTGCAGTCTTCAGCTGGCAGGTGCCGGCGATTGCGTTTTGTGGGGCGGTGGGGCGCACTTATCGCAGATTCAAGCTCTGCAGCCGACGAGGGCAGTCTGATCGTGTGCCGATCCTGGTCGAGTCCAGGTGCGAGATTGATCTCAGTTCGTCGAAGACCACCGCCGCGCGATGAGACTTCGACTGATCTTGCAAGCGCGCTGGGGGAAGGAGCTAGGGCCCTTCAGTTCCTTGCTGACGTGGAGGCTTAGTTCGGCGCGGCTCATGATTTTCGTGATCTCATGCTGCGCGACAGCTCCCCCCCCATGCTGGATGGGCGGTGGGCGGCCGCTGTCTGCGACGCGGCGGAACAGCGCTTCTCAGGGGCTAGTTTGCAGGGTCTGAAGGTTGTCGAGTGCCAGCGAGCTCGCAGTCAGCTACTCCATGGGCGGCGACAGGCGCGAGAGCGAGGCGTGAGGGATCTCGAGGCGGGTCTGCTTGCGCGATGCAGCCGCAGGCTCCGCCACCCTCGGCGCGCCCGTCAGGGGCCCGTCGCTGAGCAGTTGGTTGAGGAGCTAAACTCGGCGCGGGGGGCGAGGCAGCATGCGGAGGTGTGGCGGCTGGCCCGCGAACTTGCTGGGCGGTGTTCGGGGCCGCGACGACGACGTTCAACGTTGCCGAGACCTACGCGCCGAGGATAGAGGAGTTTCGCGAGCGCTGCGGCGGTCCATGACATGCGGGGGCTTCGCGGCGGCGCCTGTATCATTGGATGAATATCAACCGCGTCTCCTACGCGATCTACCTCGGCCCCCGACGTTCGGTGGCGGCAAATTTCGGCGCGCGGGGCTTGCGCGAGGCGATGTTGCTGCCGTTGCCGAGATTGATGCCCGGGCTCCTCGTCGCAGGGCGGCCCCTCTGCGCTCTGTCCCATCGGGAGTCGTCGCGTCGGTCCTGGGCCCCTCGACGAGGTTTGATGGCGCTTGCCGGGGGCCGCGCCAGTGCCGAAACGATGAGGGCGAGGAGGCAGGGGGCCCTGAGGCCCGAAGGCGCGCGGAGTTTGTTCCCCGCCATCGTCTGGAGGGGGGCGGGCGAAGGCTGGGCGCGGAGGCTGCTGCGATATCAAGCGAGCTGGGTCTGAAGACCTGGCAGAAAGTCCCCCCATCGTTCATCGCGCGCAGCGGGCGCCTGTTGCGCGGCACCCCTCGCGGGCGACGGGCTGAGACAAGTTCCGCGACAGAGGCGGTTTCTCTGCGCGACGCTATATGGGCGGATTATGTCGCATGGGTGCGCTGCGGCGCAAGGCGCTGCTGACGCATGGATTTCCAGATGGCGCGCCCGATCGATGCATTGGCGTCATATCGGACGGAGTCGGGAGGGAGCTCCCGCCTGTCAGGGGGCGTTGTTATCGAGCATGCTTTTTCTGGGGGCGTCGGCGCGCGGCGCGGGCGAGCGCCTGGGCGCCCGCGGGCACGCGCGGAACGGATGGGCTGGGAGCTCGCGCCGCCATCTCCCCCTGCCCACCCCGATCGCATTGTGTGGCCGAGCGAGGCCGTGCGCGCGGCGTGGGTTTCCATCCTGCAGAGGCCCGTTGGCCTGTCGCGTCGCGTCTACGCCGGTGACGCCGATGAGACGCGCGCGGTGACTTCGGCCAAGAACGCCAAGTTCACGCTCGAGCAGTCGCGCGTTCACTTGAGCGCCTCACTATCGTCATATGGATATTCTCGCCATGCCGGGAAAATCTGCGCGTCTCCCTTCGTCGGGCACAGGGCCGAAGAGCACGGCGCCGCGGCGTTCGGGGGCGCCGCTGGTTTTCCAGGGCACGCGCAGTTTGACAAGTTTGCGCTGGGTAGTCAGACGGCGGTGAACGGAGGAGCGCAGGGTGAGCTGCAGCGGCGCATCCGTGCGCGCCGTGGGGGCATGGGACGATTGTGGTCAAATAATCGAGCATGGAAGTTCACTCGCATCGTCTTCGGGGCGTTGGTCCAGGGGGCGTTGCTGTCGGGGCATGCCGCACTCGTCGTGTCCGAGGCTCAGGAGTTGCGCCTCGACCGCGCGCCCGTCAACTTCGCTCGTGGGATTTTGGGGGGACATGAGCGCGCAAAAGTGGAGGAGAAAGATGAGGGGGCAATGTCGTCTGAAATGAGCGAGGTAAGCCTGTCGTGCGATATCGGGCCCTCGCCGATGTCGGGCCCCCCCGTCGAGTTGGCTTAGCCCCTGCTGGGGCCGAGGCGGGCGACGAAGCGGGGCCCGCTGGCGCGACGACGTGGGCGGGGCGGCAGGGGCGTCTCGACAGCATTGCCCCGGTCGCGGATCTGACGTTGCTGGTCAATGGGTTCAGAGTCAACGCGGTTCTCAAAGAGGGGCTCGCGTTGATGGCTTACAGCCTGGCGGATCCCAAGATGCAGCGGGCGTTCCAGGAGCGGCCGTGGCCCAACTCGGATGCGCCGTTCGGTCGTGCATGGCGCCGCGGTCGCGCGCCGAGGCGCTGCTCCAGCACGCGTTCGACGAGTTCGAAGTGCGAGGCGGAGTGGCTCTAGATCGCAAGCCCAGGGGATGGCCGCCCAGCCTCGCGCTTCGTCACGTACGGGCGTTCGAAAGCAAAGTCCCTGGGATGGCCCCCCTGGCTCGAGCGTCGCCATGTCGTGTGCTGAGATGGGCGGAGACGTGACGCGCAGCGGCGTTAGGACGCGAGGCGATAGAGCGCAAATCCAGGATATGACTTCCCTGGCTACGTCGTCGCGTCTGGGCGTTAGAGCGCTAAGTCCACGATGTGCCCCCCCTGGTTCCAACGTCGCCATGTCTTCTGCCGAGGAGGGCGGAGCCGCTCAGTCGCAGGATGGCGTGGGCATCGTGCAGAGGTCTCTGCTCAATCGCACCAAGCACGGTGATGGGAAAACGCGCGGTGCCTACTGGCGGCTGTAGCGAGGGCCAGCTCGCGCGTGCAGACTGCCAGCGCAGCGTCGCAGATAGCCAGCTCGGGGCCGCAGATGGACATGTTGAGATCGTTGATAGCTGCGCCTTCTGCGAGGGTGACCGCGTCGAGGCTGCAGATCACTACTTCAAGATTGCAGATGCCACAGGTGAGAACGGCCGCGCCGGGAAGAGTTTCCAGGTCGAGTGAGGATGAGGGCGCCGTGGGCGCCCTGAAGGAGGCTCGTGCTGTCGCCGCCGCTGCTGTGATCCCCGCTCCTCATCGCCCGCTCCGTCTTCCAAAGATCTCGTGGCCTAAGCCACGCGTTTGTTGCTCTGCGTGCTTTCTTTGTTGTCCTTTGGCCTGGATTCCTGGGCCGTCTTCAGATTGCTCCGTCTTGTCTGCCCACTGCGAATTGCAGTCGGGCGACGTCAATTCGGGGCTCCCGCCTGTCGGGGGGGGGGCGTCGTTCACTTGCATCTGATGCGCGCGAAGCTGCTGTGTGTTCGATCAGACATGCGGCCCGAGATCATTCCACCACCACCATCACCTCCTCCTCCGCCTCCTCCCCCCCCTCCTGCTCCTCCTCCTCCTCCCCCTCCTTCCCCTCTTTTTCCTCCTCCTCCTCCTCCTCCTCGTCCTCCTCCTCCTCCTCCTCCTCCTTCTCCTCCTCCTCCTCCTCCTCCTCCTCCTCCTCCTCCTCCCTATCGCCCCCCATTAACGAACGCCCGACCCAGTCCGCTCGGTGCGTTTCTCGCTCCGCCCTGGGCGATCCGAGCCGAGCGAGAGTTCCTGTGCACCTGGCGGCCTTGGGCAGGAAGGGGTGCGGTCTCCTGGCTCCGTGGGGAAAAGAGGGACAAACCGGACGCGCCCGCGCTCGCGCCACATCTGACATCCGACCCTTCCTTCCCGTCTGTTCCACCGCACCGATTATTGTTTCTACCCGCCGTCGGGCGTCAACGGGGGAGGGGGGATCAGGGGGGGATGAGAAGAGGGGGGCGAGAGACGGAGGGAGGGGAGAGGGATGGGAAGGAAGAGTGCGGGAGGAGGGGAGAATGTATATGGAGATGATGGAGTGACAGCAGGGTGCGAGAGAGGGGGGTGCGTGGATGGGGATCAGATGGGAGAGCGATGTGGGGAAGAGGAAATGAAGTTTGAATAGCAGGAAGAGGAGGATGATGGGGAGGATACGGAGGAGGAAGAGGAGGCGCTGGCGGAAACGGGCGATCATGGGAATAATTGGGAAGGAAGGGGATACATATTGCGACGTATTGACGCCTTGCGTCGTTAAGCATATATGACGCGACATTCCTATGCGTACGTCATGTTGCTCTTATATCGGAGTTCCCCCCCGCGCATTCGAGCAACTTGTCATTGTTCAGATATGTTTATCGTTGCTGTCCGTTGTTTCCGCGCTGCCGCGGTCCGCGCTACAACCTAGGCGCGCGCGAAACGCGCGCGAGGTTCCCTACGCATAAATACATGTATACATACGTGAATCGACATACATATATATATATATATATATACGCATCGATCCAAATCATAATATATATCTGTGCATATATGCATATCTCTATATGAATATGTTTGTGTATATGTATACATATGTATATGTGTATATGTATATATGTGTGTATATAGACATATATATATATATGTGTGTGTGTATATTTACGTGTGTGTGTGTAAATATGCACACAAATATGGAAATATGTGCGCATTCCATAGATCAGCCGTGCAAGCACCCCGACGGCGGATTTCCCTTCAACAGCAACGCTGGTTTCCGGCAGTCTGTGTGTGCGGCAAGATGCGCTTATGGCCATGCTTGGAATTTCTGCCCCTCTGCCGCCCATTGCGCTCGCCCAGGTGCTCAGGCACGCCGACGCGTTGGACGACAGCACGGCGCGGGAGCTGACGCAGGCACCGGGCTGCCCCGCTGCGGGCCCGCCCGGTGCCGCCTGCGCGTCTGCCCCGAGGCCCGCTTGCGGAGCAGCAGTTCGCTTTCGCCCAATTCGGGAGCGGTCAGTTAAGGGGGTGCTGACCAGGGTCGGCGGCGTGCCCGGGGGGGAAGCCAGAAGGGGCGGGCCTGTTTCAGAAGGCTCGGAAGTCACCCGGCCTCCTGCGACGTCTTCTAAATCTTCCCCGACGAAACACAGACAACTGCTCAGAAGGCGCGAGGGATTTTTGAGAAGTCCCGCCGCATTTGAGAAGGCCTGCTCCTTTTCACTTCCCCCCTTCGCCCGCCGCTGGATGAGATCTCCCTGGGTCTCATAGTCACCTTTTTTTGTTTTTGCTTTGCGCGATGCGCGACGGCAGCTGATCTGAACGGCGCCTCGAGTTTTGATTACCCAACGTTCAAGATACTTTAGCCGTTATCATCAGAAATCATTTAAATCACTGAGCAAGTACCGAGACTGAAGGGTTTGAGATGTTTTTACGTGTCGGGCCCTGGTGGGCGATACTCGTTCGTCGTTTCGCCAGCGCGTCGGGTAGACACTGTTTCGATACTTGCCGACCCGCGGCGGCGGGCCGCGTGTCTGAACGGCGCGCGGCGCGACGCCGACCGCCCCGCGGCGTCGGGCCGCACCGCCCCACGGCGTCGGGGGTGCAGGGCACCTCCGAGGACCTCCCGGAGCCCTCGGCGCGAGCGCGCTGGGCCCCTCCCGGGCCCGACCACGGACCCTTGCGAGGGGCCCGCAGAGAAAGCGACGGCGTGGGGCACTGCGGCACCGTCGGAGGCGACGATCCCTTGGCATCGCTCGGACGTGTGCATTTTTCCCCGGCAAGGACCAGCGAGAAGCATCCTGCATCATCTGGCAGAAACAGCACGCCCGAAACCGAAGAATGCACGAGGAATGGACGCCCGACCGATGGCGAGACGACGGAAGTGCTTGCAATTGTGTCGCCCTCCGGGGTGCCCCTCGCCGGGCCCCCTGGGGCCGTGAGAAACGAGTCGAGACGAGAAACTGGCCCCGGGGAAAAGGCCGGGACTTGCAGGCGCTCATTTTCGGATGTCCTCGCGTGATCCTTCGGCACACACCGTGGGCCCCGCACACCTTCTCCGGTGCGTGGAGCGGTGCGCCCGGGGGTAGGGGGGGGGGCGGCGCCAGAGGCTCCATGCTTTCCAGATGGGGTCCGAGTAGACCCATGCGATCGCAAACATGGATCAAGGGGGCGTGGATTTGCGACGGGTCCCGTTTCCATTGGAAATCGCGGAGTTTCTCAGAGGGGAAGAAGGTACCCGTACCTCTACCCTTCGTCCGTTTTCCCCTTTGGTTGGGCCTCCTTGGGGGCCCTCCTTTCCACCGCTGGATTCGCCTCGAAATCCTGGTCAGAACGCACCCCGGGAGAAGTCCGGGGAGTAGCGGTATCGGTATCTTTTGGGTTGCCCATTTCCGCCGCCGAACGAGGCGGCATTGGCCGCATTTTTGGGAGGGCACCTCCCCCGATCCATGGGTTTGGCGTCCTCGCGCCAAGTCCATGGATCGCTGATCCATGTTTGCGCGCCCCCGATAGACGGGGTCGGATGAGCGCGCCAACTCGTCGATGCATCTCCGATTCTGCTCGATGTGGCACACGGTTTTCGTCCACTCCGACGGCGCCGACGCGTCGCCGACGTCGGCGTTGCATCGACGGTGAAGCGCGATCTGCCCATGGCGAGTGGCTCATGTGCTTGGGCCAGGGGCGCTCGCCCGCAGGCATCGGAGTTTTCAGCCGCTACGTGGATGATCCCGTGGCCCTGGGTTGGAGTGGATGTGCGGAGAGAGGCGGGGTGCGTTTGGTCGGAGCGTGAATTACCTCCCCCGCTTTCGCTTCCAGGCAAAACCAAGTCATACCACGCGCCTCCTCGTCAAGCGGCCTGACCAGTACAGGCCGTAGTTTGGCATCGCTTGGTATCTCTTGGAAGCGAGGGTGGTCAAAAGCGAGGTAGGTTTGTTTGCCCCCCATTGGGGAGGAACAAGCATCCCACCCCATCTGCTCGGGCCCCATGTGGGAGGCCTCCAGAGGCACCGCTGGGGGGTCGTGGGGAAGGGGGTTCCAGCGCCGAGCTCCAAAAGTTGCTCGAGCTCCTCCTTCCTCCTCCTCCAAAAGTTTTTGCCTGAGCTCCTCCTCCTCCTCCTCCAAAAGTTTGTGCTTGAGCTCTTCCTGGTCGGCCTCCACGGGCTCTCGGAGGGCCCGCACCGCCCAGCCTGTTCCGCCCCGACGTCGCCGAGGAGTCGCCGAGGAGTCGACGATGTGGAGCGATCCTTCCGCCCTGCACGTTCGGGGACGCGCGAAGCCGGGTCAGCGCTGACCAGGGTCAGTCGGGAGCCTTGAGACTGGGGTCAATGCAAACGTGAGTCATCCAGAGCGCCCGACCTTGCAGGATCCTGCACGGCCAGGGTCGCATTGACCTGGGCTTGGGCGCAGGATCCTGCAGGATCCTGCATGATCCTTCGCATTGATCTAGGTTTGGGTGCAGGAACTTGCAGGATTCTGCAAGGCCTGACTGACATGGGTCTGGATTGACTAGGGTCAGAAGATCCCCGAGTCAGCCAGGGCCACCATGTCGGGAACCATGGCTCGGTCAGATCAGGGTCACCGGAGGGCGGGGAGGGGGATTCGATCCGACGTGAGCGGCGCAGAACAGCAGGTTCGATTGCGCGGACATTCGCGCGCAAGTTGCCAGCGTAAGGTCGCGCTTAAGTGCCCTCGCTCCCAGTGTAGTGTGCCACGCCTGCAGCCCGCGTAAGCCGCGGCGCAAGGTCGCTACGTCATCTCGCGCAAGCCCCGTTTCTGGTCGCCGCCCACGCGGTTTGGCCAGCGATGATCGGAAGGGATTTGCTTTTTGGCGGGGTTAGGGCGCGGATAGATCCGTTTCAGAACGTGCCGGAACGCTCTCAGAGAGCTTCCGAACGCCCTGGGAAGGCCGCGGCGCCCGAGGCATCCCCCAGAGCCGCAGGATCTCAGACATTTGTCTTTGTACCCTCACCCGAACTTCGTCTGGTGCTGATCCCCGCTGGCAGGCTGGGGCGGCACCGAGGCAAGGGGGCGGCCGAGGCTTCACGCAGTGCGGGCGCACGGCGCGGGCGGCAGGGCCCTCTGGATTGCTGTCCCTTGGCGTCGCTGGGCGGGTCGGCCTTCGGGGGCTCGGGAGCGGCCAAGATCGGCGGCGAGCCGGGGGGGGGGGGAGCCCTGACCTTCCAGAGAGCTGTTTTTTTAAGCACTGGAGACCTAAAAACCTAAACGACTAAACGAAACAGCCTAAAACCAAGACGTAGAATAGCTCTGGGACAGGTTTTTAGGTCGGGTGTTATTTTTTAGCCCTCCTGGAAGGTCAGGGAGTGAGGAGCAGAAGGCCCTCCCTCGGCTGCGCGCAAGGGCGACCCCTCGCCGGAGTGGCCCGTGGCGCGGGCCCGCGGGTGCCCCCCCGCCCCAGAGCTGGCTGTTGCGAACCGGAGGTGGCCTCTCCGCGGCTCCCCGAAAGCCGCGCGCCAGGGATCACTCTTGCCCAGGGCCGCTCTTGCACGTAGCCGATTCTCAGAGGGCTCGAAGTCCCACGGCCTCCCGAGAAGTCTTCTGAGCCTTCCCCGAAGGCACCGAACACATCTCAGGCGGCGCGAGGGCTTCTGAGGAGTCCCGCCGCCTTCTGAGAATGCCTTTTCCTTCACACTTCCCCCCCTCGCTCGCCGCCGAGACTAGGGAGGGTGGATACCATGACTGGGGCCATGTTATCTCCCCAGATTTCATGATCCCTCTTCTTATTTCAATACGTCCCTTGGGCCCTCTGAGCAGAGCACATGCATCGGGCTATGATTTGCGACCTCCCCTCTTGGACGCCCTCCCTCTGACGTGACTCGGCAGGCGGTGGATATGGATGTCATGTTGCTGGGCCCCCATCAGCCGCAAGGGTACGTGGCCGAAAAAGATCGGTGACCGAAGAGGTGCCCGAGATAGTGATCGAACACGTGGTGTGACCGAAATCGCGACCGACATTGCAAATCGCTTTGTTGTCGAACCTCGAATTTCGGTCGCACTCTGGCGCGTTCGGAAAATTTCGAATGTCGGTTGCAGTCACACCCAGCAGATGTTCGGGCACAGTTTCAGTCACTACACCCCTGATAGAGACGAGGTTGCGTGATGGTTGGATTCGAGCCGTGTTGGGGCATAGATGTGTGTATATACATGAATTAAACTATCGAATTCTAGATCGACGTCAGTGTATAAACATATGCCAGCCAGCATGCACCCCACACAGTGTGATTCTACCAATCCAAAGTGAGCACGGTCCAGAAATGAGTCCCAGGGGAGTGGAGGTGATGAGGGAAGCGGGGGAGCATGCAGAATAAGGGGCGGGGTGAGCCGCCATATACCCCGATAGGGGGAGGATGTAGGAGGAGCCGTCGCCGTCGGAGTAGGAGGAGGAAGAAGAGGAGCAGGAGGAGGAGCAGGAGCAGGAGGGGGGGGAGGAGGAGAAGGAGGAGGAGGAGGAGGATGAGGAGGAGGAGATGGAGGACTGCGAGGACGAGGAGGATGAGAAGGAGGAACAAGGAGAAGGAGGAGTAGGAGGAGGAGAAGGAGGAGGAGGGGAGGGGGAGGAGGAAGGAGGAAGACACAGAGGAGGAGGAGGAGGAGGAGGAGGAGGAGGAGGAGGAGGAGGAGGAGGACAATTGCGAGCTTGGGGGCCTCTTGGATCGTCTTTGGGGCCTCTTGTCGGTCCTGGGAGCCTCCTGCGTAACTCGGGGAGCCTCTTGGGGCCTCTTGGGGGTCTCTTGGGGACCTCTTGGAGGCCTCTTGGGGGCCTCTTGGGGGCCTCTTGGTGCCCTCTTGGGGCCCTTTTGGGGCGCTCTTGGGGCGCTCTTGGGAGCCTTCGGGGCGCTCTTGGGGCCATCTTGGAGGAGATCTATCAAAGACGGGGGTGTCGTATTTTAGCGCTGCCC